CTTGAGGTATGGTTGCCTTTCATCCTTGGGTAGCTATCACCCAAAGAGCCCCTTCAAATTATGTTTTCAAGATATCAAATCCCCCAAATTATAGGGTTTTCATTCTATAACGTAGGTCTTCTTTCCAAAACATTTTCATTCCTTAATTATGATTGTTTATGGTTGTTTATGACGCATTAGGAATATATTGATGGATAATTGATGTTTATAATGAGAATTCCCCATAGACCCATGTGTTCCACATATTTATAGATCTAGAATTGATATTGTGGGTTGGATGATATTATGAATGAGTCAATTGAATATGTTTATGTTCATTAAGCTATTGAATCATGAATTCCTTATATATTATGTAGTAATTGTATATAGTTTGGTTGATTGTGATTTCAAGACCCTTGAAGGGCAAAGGTATGAAGATTATGCCTCTTTATGGGAATTATGCATGAGATTGTGATGTACTTAGATAGTAATGATTATATATCTATTGTGTTGTTGTGGTATTGATGGAAAGATCCTTCATCCCTATACGCCATACATTTGGTTATGCATGAAGTATATATGTATGCTTATGGTAATCTTGTTGTGTTGATTGAAAGGACATTCTCATGATCATAATGCGACTACAATGTGAAGGGTTTAATCACATGCTAGTGTTTCTAAAGTGAAAGGAGCATTCTCACTTAAGCAACCTATGAGCTATTATGATGATATGTTGGCATCAGTGCCTAATGTATGGTTTTATGAATATGAACTTAAGTAAAGGCTAACGGTGACTTTTAAAGGGAATAATGCTTAGCACCGAGAGGACATGAAAGTGAGATGGGGGCTTTTACGTTTAGCAAGTCCGGCTTCCCAATGTATGTTAGCTCATGAGATGGAAACCTTCTACATTTAGCAAGTCCGGGTTTCTAGTAGAAATCTCCTTGTCTCATAACTATGTGCCCACATAGGTCTTAGCTAGTGGATCCACCTCGAAGCTACTATGTTGGTTCTACCTTAGGCAAGTAGAACACATCTTTTTGGTGTGGAGTTAGAACACCGGATTCCATGTAGCTCACATGGTCTATATCGGTTATTGCATGTCTTCCCTAAATTAATATGAATGTGAACTATGGTAAGGTTCTCTTATGTTATGATGCTATGATGACTTATGAGCTAAGTATGAAAAAGGTATGTATGAATGTCTTCCCTCTTATGTATGTTGACTATGACTATGGTAAGATATTTATGTTGTTGGTGACCTAAATGTAATACTTAGCATTTGGTAGGGTTATGGGACATTACTTTTGCATTGCACTAGTGTGGCTTTGGGTTGCTTGTATGTTGGTTTCGTTTATGTTTCTTCATAAATGTGCATAATGGTTTCTAAACTTGATAAAGGCATGTTTTCAACTAAATGTCATTGTTATGCATGTTTAAGGATTTTTGTGCATTGCATCCATACTTAGTACAATTAATTGTGCTAACCCATATTTTCTACTTTACTATGAGTGTAGGTTCCGGCCGTTGATACTAACTGATAACGTTCAAATAAACTTGTTGAAAAGAAATATAAACGATCGTATGCAATATATTTACCCAACTATGAGTCGGGGTCGAGCCCACAAAGAATATGGAAGAATATTGTCAATAGAAAATATTTAACTTGATAGTCGTTATATAAAAATGGGGGGATTTAAATAGAAATAAAATAAAAACAATAAAAATAGCTTTGAACTAAGTATTTATTTATATTCATATTATTAGAAATAACTAGGAATGTGTTCCCCATAAGCTCATAACGCAGTAATCCTAGTAATAGCAATCATTTCCTAGTGTATTACATGCAAAGTGATAAGTTAGGTATCCCTAAATCTTTGATACGGCATCTACATAATTTCACCCCGCACCTTGGGCCGACTACGTGTGTATAATTTACTAAGTCTTACCTTCACCTAATATTAGGCATCACATCAATGTATGACTTAGTTTTCATCCATGCACCAATTAACATTAGACTATTAGATAGTATCACATTAAATCTATGTTGATAATTATTTTCTTATTAACTACAACCTTGGTTCGGCAAGTAGCGACAAGGCGAGTTCTAACGTTGGCCACCGTTAAAAAGACTTCTAAACGAAAGAACTATCAATGCATGCAACAACACTATTCAAGAATTGCTTACTTACTATTTATACTTTGTTAATCGCTTATTGTTCCCACAACCCTAATTAAGAAATTTAGCTACTCATTATCTCAAAAACACAATCAAAATCTATTAAAATAAATATGTTTGTGTTAATCATAAAAATCTAAGAACAATAGTTAAACTATCTTTTATTAATCACGAATACAAATATATAATAAAGGAGAAGAAAGAATAAACCACAATTCTCCGGCCTACACGGCGGTTCTTCCAAAGTTCCTAAGCTAGAAGAAAATTTATATTGTGTATTCTTTCTTGGTTCTTGGCTCCCCAAAGAATGCCCTATTTATAAATATAGAAACCCTAAAATAAGATAATTGAGTTCAAGAGAAATTAGGATATTAAAACCCAATTAAATTGGGTTTTCCGTATTGTACGCGTGATTTCTCAATTTCCCTGGTGCGCCGCCTTCCATAATTCTGCACAATTCACTTGCTGCCACGTGGCAGCAGCAAGAAACACGAGTAAGAATTGAAATTCCACAATTTGCAGCCGCCATTTCCTTATGTATATAAATATATTATTCTATTAAATTTAATCTATTCAGCTGTCTGTTTGATTTCCTTCTTCAATCCTCCATTTTTAATTCGTTTTAGCTCCAAACTTTTTCATTTTTCACCAATTTAATCCTACAAATAAAATATATTATTTAGCACAATCCATAAAAAATTTACTCAAAAAGGAAAAATATAAATAATAAATGTGAGACAAATAATGATTAAAAATATGTATTTTGACCTCACATCAGTTACTACTTCCTTCAAGGTGAAGCTTGGGTCGACTATTCCTTAGGCTTGGTGAGTCCTCAAGTTCGAGGACAAGTTTCCATTGATTCTAGTTTCTAGTCTACTTCTTATGTTTAAGACTATACTGTATTTCCTATTTTTGGAGACTCTATTGATGTAAAGGGCTTTGAGCCTATTTGTACTCTTATGTTCTAGATGGTGATTGAGACACATCTAGTTCCTATTTTCCTTTATCAAAGAAGTTGACTTCGATTGTAAAAGTTTAATTTTTTCAGTATTTTTCCATGCCTTTATTTGATGATGATGTTAAGGGCTTGTAGGCGAACCCTTCGGGGTCAAGTACACCATGTTACTTCTAGGGGGTAGCCCCGGGTCGTGACAGGTGTATTGCTTAACTTGATTTGTACATGTAGGAGATGGAATATTAATTTTCATCTTCTCTTTCTCAAGAGCCAGGGAGTTCTTATGCATTGTTTCCATTCATTGACTACTAGACATTGTAGAATTTTTATGTCCTAGTCCTCGATTCTTACCTATAAAACGTAGAGAAAATAAATAATATTATCAATACTTAACATAGTGTTTTGGAGCATGATAAGTTGAACAACAACGACAAGAACTCATTGAGAAGAAGAGATTGTGAAATAGAAAAGAAACAGTGTGTAATAGCTAGGTTGTACATAACGATTACTAGTTGAATATAACTTTCTGTTTAACAAATAAATATATATATCTTACATGTTTCAGTTTCTTGGATGTAGTGGTTAACAACATCATTAGATTGAGAAAATAACTTCTTAGCTGGCATATTCCCTTTCTCACCCAACGATTTAAGTCCAACTCCTCATACTCGTCCCCATCCCTTTACAATAGAACAAGGTGCAACAAATGTATATCTCAAAGTACTCTTGTTAGTTGAACTGTCCTCATTTTCATTCTTGACTAGTTTCATCTTGAACCTGCGAAAAAGTCAAAAAGTAAAAAATAATAAGGAAAAATGTCTGACAGTGTAGTTACAAAATAAATCATGATTTCATAAAGTGTAACAATAAATATATCAATTCATAAAAAAGATACTTTACCTCATTAGTTCTTTTTCGTTTCTTTTGTGAAGGACTTCCTAACTCTACAATATCATCATTCATTTGTTCAATAATCTCAAAGGAATCACGAGGTTGAGTCTTCATAACGACTTTCCAACCTTTGTTGGAATTATCATTAGCATAGAACACTTGGGATGCTTTGTTTGCTAAAACAAATGGCTCATTTATTTTCAAAAATCTTCGCAGATTAACACTCACAAAATCATACTCATCCTTTTTAACTCCTTTTATTTCATCATACATATCAAACCAATTACATCGAAATAGAACCACTCTTCTATCCATGACAAATTGCAACTCAATCACATCTGTTAATACACCGTACTAATCAAGGTTTTCACTATCTTTATCATTCTCACCAAATACAACAACGCTACAACTTTGAGTCCTTAACTTTTTATCATAATCTTCTACATGAAATCTATATCCATTAACAACATAACCATTAGAACGCCTAAGATATTGTGTAGGACCGCGTGAAAGTGACAGGAGATCTTCCATCATACGACTATCATCTCCTTTGTGCAATTGTGCGACCTATTAACAATATTAGATTGATTATTTTAGAATTAGTATTAACATATTTAAATATCAAATTTGATGTTTATGTATTACTCACCCTATCTATAAACCATTCAATAAATTGTCGGTTCCATTTTGCATCAGACAAGTGTCGAGAATTCTCATGAGTTTGTGCAAACTCTCTACGAAATTAAAGTGAACCATAAATCTCTTATAGAAAGGAAATTATCCTAAAGGAAATGATAATAATAGGATGATATGAAAGAACTCTACATACTCGAGAAATGGTAAGACTTCATCACAATTCCTCAGTGTGTATATATATGCTTATTCTAATTCATCTGCTTCAACATCACATGGAGGTTTAGCTCCTAGAGTTCTTCCGGGTTGACATAATATAGATAAGCCTACACTACATTTTTTTAAACCACCATCCAAATTTCATTCAGGTTGATTGATATTTGTGTCAATTCTATGCAGATACCTCGAACGTAAGGTCATGCATTCAATTGCAATATAGCCTTCTACAATACAACCTTCAGGACATGCCCTATTACCAATGAGAGATTTCAAAAAATACAACCATCGTTCCACAAGATACATCCACCGATAGTGAATTGGTCCAGCAACCTTAGCTTCACTAGCTAAATGAATAGGTAAGTGCACCATGACATCAAAAAATGAAGGAGGGAAGACCTTTTCTAACTTGCAAAGTGTTATGGGAATTTGAGCTTCAATATGATTCAAGTTATCAATTTTCAACTCCTTTGATCCAAGAACACTAAAAAAGATTGATAAATCAAGAAGTGGTTTACACACTTCTTTAGACATCATACCACAAAGTGCAAGAAGGAGTAAATGTTGAAGAAGAACATGACAATAATGACTTTTCAATCCAAATATCTTGTGATCTTTTAGGTTCACACATTGAGAAATATTAGATGAAAACCCATCAGGAACCCTTGGATTTTTTAAGAAAAGGCATAATTTGTGCTTATCTTCAGGAGACAATATGTAGCATGGAGTGGGAAATTCAATTTTCTCCCTATTTTGAATTGGATGCATGTCCGACCTAATGTTAATTTCCTGCAAGTTTAACCGTGTTTTAATTGTGTCCTTGGTCTTTCCTTTGACACTCATTATTGTACCCATAATATTATCACATATATTCTTTTCAATATGCATAACATCCAAATTGTGTCGCAACAGGAGACAATTCCAATATGGAAGTTCAAAAAAGATGCTTTTCTTGTTCCAATTATCCTGCCATTTTTCATGTGAAATCTTCTTCCTTTTCTTTGGATCTTTTGATAACGGAAGCCCTTCAAGATCTTGCACTTTATCAAATATCTCAATACCAGAACGTATTTTGGGTGCGGGACTTTCCTCTTTGTTTTCATCAAATGTCTTCGTCTCATTCCTCCATTTATCACTATGAGGAATGTAACGCCGATGACCCATAAAACACCGCTTCTTACAATTAGCCAATCGAATTGAAGAATTATCTTTATTGCAACATGGACATGCCAATTTTCCTTTTGTACTCCACCCAGATAAGTTTTCATATACTGGAAAGTCATTGATGGTCCATAACAAAGAAGCCTGCATCTTAAAATTTTGTCTAGTTGATGTATCAGAAGTCTCAACACCAACTTCCCATAACTCCTTCAATTCCTCTATTAATGGCTGGAGATATGTATGTATTGCATCTCTAGGACCATTTGGACCAGGAATAATCATTGACAAAATGAAATTTTCTTGTATCATACACAACCAAGGTGGTAAATTATAAGGAATAAAAACCACAGGCCAAATGCAATGTGAGGTTTTTGAATTCCAAAATGGTTGGAATCCATCAGTAGCAAGTCGAAGTAAAAAATTATGAGGGTCAAGTGCAAATGAAGGATGAAGTTCATCAAATGACTTCCATGCCATTGAATCAGCTGGGTGACTCATTATTCTATCATAAACTCTTTCATCCTTATGCCATGTCATTAGAGTAGATGTCTTTGTAGACATAAACAACCTCTGAAGTCTAGGCTTGAAGGGAAAATAGCGTAAGCTCTTTAAAGCTATCTTTTTACCTTTCTTATTACTTGTTTCCCCACTATGTGTATTTATTTTCCATTTGGACGCACCACAAACTTTGCAAGAATCGAGTAAGCTATCCTCCTTCGAATATAACTTGCAATCATTAGTACAAACATTAATTTTGTTATAAGAAATCCCAAGTTCTTTAATTATCTTCTTCGCCTCATAATATGAGTTTGGCAAAACAGCGCCATCAGGCAACAACTCCTCTTTCAATATTTTCAATAACATTGCAAATGACGCATTACTCCAACGACTCATACTTTTGATATGAAGTAATTTGATCAAAGAGGAAAGCTTTGAAGCTTTTGAATTTTGGTATAGTGGCTGCTCGAAATCCTTCAATAGGCTGTAAAAAAATTTTGCTTCAACATTTGGTTCTTCCACAAGTAAATCATCACAATCTATGTGTGTACTTCCTCCATGATGATTAGGATATAAATCTCTCAACAATTCTTCTACTTCATTATCACTCTCACATTCTTCTATTGCATCACCAGCTTCATCATTAGATTTTGTATCTGATTCTGGCTCACCCAAACGTTCTCCATAATGAAACCAAAAAGTATAGTTTCGAATTATTCCATACACTAGCAAATGTGTCTTAACTGTTTTACGAGTTCCTAAAATTGTATTGAAACATTTTTGATACATGGACATCGTATTTTATTTTCTTCTCCTGTTCTTTCAAAGGCATAATTCAAAAGCTTCTGCACACCGTCTAAGTATATTTCATCAAATCGATTGTCAACAAGTTGTATCCATTTCTTACTACGTGCCATACCTTATAGTATACATAAAAATAAGATTTTGAAAAATAAAGTAAAATAAAAATCAAAATATGCGCACAACTTGTTACAATTTGTTTTACACAACTAAGTTGAACTCTAAGATTGCACTTTCTAGTGGACTTTAGCTACTTGTTCAGTTACTGAATTGTTGTATACTTTCATATCGCAAAGAAAGACGCAAATATAATATTTCCTGCCAATATGTTGACATACCAAACTTGAACAACAAAAAGTGTAAACTTAGAAAAATTACAGAAAAGAACTCCATATACAAAGAAAAATAGTTAGAATGTCTCTCTCAGAACTTGAAGGTTTTCTTCAGGATATCCTTAGCTTTTCACTCATGCTTTCTTTCCTGTCTATCATTTATGATTATTTTCTATGAGAATCTTATTTCTTGACGCGATTTAATTATTTTTTTTAAAAATGCTAGTAGTTGCTTGTTGACCAGAGAACGCCATAAATGACCATTCAAATTGACTTGTCTATTGTAAAAAATAGAGCTTGGTGATCACTATTTTTAGTTGATTGTTCATAGACTCCAAAGTCTAGTAAATCAGTGATGTTAACATATGTGTAGATTAACGACATGTAACAAATTAATGAAATAAAACAATTACTAACTCGATCGAGACTCGAATATAATGAATCTTTAGGTTGTACACTTCATATGCCTAAAACAGGAAACTCAGATTCAAAGCAGTTTTAGCCCGTTCTCTAATAATTAAACTATATACGTGAACAACAAAATGATCATTCGATAGTTATCGTTAATGATCAATACGAGAATAATAGATCAACAAAAGTTGTTCATTCTATTTCCAGAAATTCCAAAAAAGGTTCTTTTAGTCATTTATATTTGGCTCCTAAAGTACATTAAGCTAAGAGAACTAGAATTTGATTATAGTATGAGCTTTGTGAATATTATTTGAATACAACACCTGATGAAATTATGGACTTGTTATACGAGGATTAGGAGATTGTACCAAAAAAGCCATTGAATCGTAAACCATTATTTGAAACGATGGATCTGGTGAAACTAATAGGTGACGAGAACATGCTATAGTTGTCAAGAATGATGCAGAGCAGACTGCTGCTGATTCAATGATGAAAGTTCTCAATGAAAGTGCAAATGGAGTTCTTTAAGAAACCAACAACCTTATTCTGGCAGCGACTAGAATAGTGGATTTCAAGCACAGGAGTGAAAAAAATGAGTTTCAGAACAGACATACTACTATTAAATTAAACAAAGAAGAAGAGACAAATGCTAATGAATACAAAGTCCTTCAGAATGCACAAGGAAACAATTCTCACACTGTAGTGGCTAAGGATTCACCTGATAATTCATTCAAGCGTAGGAAGCTTCTATGTCCAGCATTTGATGAGAACAACTATAGGAGTGATTTGAATCACCAACTTCCTTGGCAGTCACTTGCCACGCCTAAAATAGGGAACTCAGATTCAAGCGACTTTTAGCCTACTCTCTAATAATTAAACTATCTAGGTTAACAACAAAATGATCACTCCATAGTCATCGTTAATGATGAATACAAGAACAACATATCAAAAAAAGTAGTTCATTCTAATTCCAGAAATCCCAGAAAAGTGTTTTTAGTCCCTTATCTTTTGGCTCCTAAAGTACATAAGCTAAGTGAACAAGAATTTGATTATAGTATGAGCTTCGATTAAAATTATATGGATACAACAGTTGATGAAATCATGGACTTGTTATACGAGGAACAGAAGATTGTACCAAAAAAGCCGTTGAAACGTAAACCATTTATTTGAAACGTTTGATCTGGTGAAACTAATAGGTGAGGAAAACATGGTACAGTCGTCAAGAATGATGCAGAGCAGACTGCTAATTCAATGATGAGAGTTCTCAAAGAAAGTGTAAATGAAGTTCTTGAAGAAACCATGAACGATATTCTAGCAGAGACCATAATGGTGGATTTCAAGCGCAAGAGGGAGACAAATTGAGCTTTACAACAAACTATTGTTAAAGTAAACAAAGAATAAGAGAAAAATGCTAATGAATACACAGTCCTTACGAATGTACAAGGAAACAGTTCTCAAACTTCAGTCGCTAAGGATTGAGTTGATATGCCATTCAAGCGTAGGAAGCTTGTGCGTTTAACATTTGATGAGAACAACTGTAGGAGTGATTTGATTCACCAACTTCCTTGTCAGACACTTGACACGGGCAATGATAAATCTTGAGAAAAACTATGCATGCTCAGTAACTATATTATGAAGATCTGGGATAATCTAGATAAAAGGATGAAAATTCAATATCCTAATTTTATATCGTAGGGACAACATAGTGAGTGAATTATACATAATACTAGAGGAATTAAAAAAATGCCTATGTATTCGAAATTATATACTCTGAACTTATCAAATGGATTAAAAGGAACTCGAGCAGATTTGAAGGAGGATTTAACTAGAATATGGGAGAGCATTGCGAAGGAGACTTCCTACACTACATGCGTAAGAACACCTACTAGGATAAGAGGTGAAGTACATAGTTTCTTTTTTATGGAAATCGTGTATTCTATGTGATTAGAAGATTCCTTAGCTCAAACAAGTTAAGTCTTAAGCCTGATTTGGTGGTTAACATAGATTAATTACTGAAACAAAATTGACTTATCAATCGTCGAGAATAAAACATAGTAATCACTATCTTTAATTCACTGGTCAAAGACTCCACATACAACTGAATCAGTCAAGTTAAAATATTTATCGATTCACGTCCCACAACAGATAAATAAAAGAAAACAATTACTTGTGTGGTAGTATATAGAAAATAATCAGTTTTGTTACTACAAGTTGATAAGGACTCCAATATAAAGAATCTTTGTGTTTTATCATCATCAACTAATCAAACGACAATCAAATATTCATTCATACAAGGAACTTTGGTGTCCATTGAAGAATGGAAATCACGAAGCATAGAATAACAGAAGAAGGGTGTCGGCCTCTTAGTTATTTTTCAGGAAAAAAAAGCTTTACTCCATGGGTTATGTGATTTTTCGAACACACATTATTCTACAAACTTGAATACACTTCAACAAATTAAACCATCAATTAGAATCTGAACTCAATAAAAAAAGAAAATTGGGCAAACTTGAATGACATAATAGAGAACATGAAGAAAAAGAAAAGAAAACTTACCAGAATTTCGTAGTAGAGAGAAGCAAACAGAGACGTTGATGATCAATAGATAGGCTTTGAGGAAGAGCAAGATAACCCTAGGTAGAACATGTACTTGATAGAGATGAAAAAGAGAGCATGTGTTCTTGAGAATACGTAAAGGCTAAGTTACGACCATTGGGTATTGAGAGACAACGATTTTTTTTTTTAGATATTTAGGAAATAAGGCTTCTTTTGGCACCTACTTTTTCAGCAAAAATAAAGTTGATTTTATTAAAAATTTTAGGGATGTTTTGGCGGTGTGCTCTACCGCTTATAACTCTCTCAATAACAATTGGAACTAGTTATTAATATTTTTAGGGACCAGCTTTCGCACCTTCTAAAAAACATATAGATTTTAGGACCAAAATATAATCTCGTCCCAATAGGTATACTTTTAGCGACGGGATTATTAAATCGTCCCTAAATATTGGTCATAAATAACCCTTTTTCTTGTAGTGAATATTTTTCCTTAGCTTTGAAAAATTGAAGTTTTCCATTTTCGAGAAACTGGAAGTGGGTTTTTGGGACTCTTCAACCTTGACCTTTATAAAGACCAAGTTAATCTTACCCAGTTGATGGAAACACAATTTGGTAACAATTTTTATCTTTTTATGATGTCTATCTGAAACCCCAAGTCTTGGGGTTTAATTATATGATTATGGGTTGATGTAGCTGCTAGGTATTGTTAATTGATAGTTTAAATGATGTTTAAAAGTGATTTTAATTCAGTAATTGTGGTTTAATTTAAAGGGTTGTAGTTGCAAATGCAACTCTACCTTCGTGTTTTTGGCTTGCTCGAGAGAGAGGTTTTAAAACCAAGGTTACTTATTTTATGGTCTGTGAGTATTGGATTGTATGGGTTCAGCACGAGAGAGTGAATGGACTAAAGCGTAGGCTGTTCTTAATTGCTGCTTATTGGTGTTCGAGAGAAACCAATTTGATTCGGGGTAAATTGTTAGAGAGAAAGTTTATCTCCACAAAAGTCTAGCTTATTCACTGATTTACATCTATTTACTATCAGTTGCAATTACCCATTTGTCTACCTTACCCACCATCCAATCACATCCCAAGATCCCGTCGCTTTACTTGTTAATATTTGAAATATGCTTTTATTCATTAATGTTTTTACGTATGATTGACTTGAACATATTTGTATTTGGCTCTTGAATCTTAAGCACGTACTATTCCATGTGGGATTCGACCCCAATTCATTTAGTTGGGTTATATTATTGACTAACTATCATTGGCACTTATTATTGGAAAAACTGTCCTGATATGTGAAATAAAAAAATGGCACCGCTGCTAGGGAGTAGTGTTGTTTAAGATTCTTTAGCTAAGTTGAGTTTTCTTCTTCTTAGTTATAGTAGAACTTACTTAAGTTTAGTTTTGTTCTGCTTGTTTGTGTTTTGAAATAGGAAATATGAGTGTGAACGGCAATAATGTTAGCCAAGTAGGCCACCAAGACAACATTGAAAACCTCAACGATGTCAACGAACCTAATGCTAATGGCCCCCATCTTATGGGTGGTATTGTTTCCATTCGCTTGCCTCCGACCGAAGGGAATGTGGTGTTCCGCATCACAAGTACTATGTTGTATCTATTGCTATTGAAGGGGCGGTTCGGTAGTTTGGCTCTTGAGGATACCCATGAGCATATTAGAAACTTCGTAAATGT